GGGATATGATCAGTAGTATTAGGTCCCTGTAGTAACGGAAGTAGCCGCAACGCAAATTAGACTGGTTTGTCCCACTTGGGACGCACCGATAGTAATAACGATGCCTTTATGTTTTCTTAGTTCTTGACTATTTTTAAGCGTTTGTCTCAAACATCATTATTTGAGCAGAATAGTGTGTGGTAGGACTTGCGAAGAACTTCCCAGGCCACTTTTCTAAGGTAGCAGATATATGTCATGCACTTGAAACAAAATAATTTTTCTCATTCAAAAGGAAGCGCTTAAAAATATTTTAAATCAGAACAATAACATTTGATTAAATCGTAGTAACCTATTTATGGCGTGCTTCCCGTATGCCAACCTCTTTATATATTTTTTCTAATCCTTACCTCAAGCTTGTGGGGTAGATATTGTTACTGTTTTATGGATGAGAAAAAGAGCCTCCAAGAACCACACAGCTATGAAGTTCAAGGGCATTGATTTAGTCTCAAGTCTGTCTGGTTTCAAAGCCTGTGCTTGTTCCATTTTGCCTCCAAAATTATCCAGAGGAAGAAATCCAGAAAGGGCACTGAGAGGTAGAGAGGAATAGTAAAGGGAAATGCCACTGATGATTAGGTTAACCATACCTAACTTAAGAATTTAATACTAAACTCATTCTTAGTTTTTAAAAATTTAAGAACTTTTTTTTTTTTACCAAAGTACATCTGTACTTTGTTTTCATAAATAAAATGCATTTAATTCAGAGGTCAGGGCTTTCAGAACCCTTTGTGCAGATCTCCGCTTCACTACCCTGCTATTGTGAATAATCATGTGCGCTCTTCCAGGGACCAGGAACTTTTGTATCTAGCACAGTGCTTGGCACATAACAGTAAATATTAATTGACTAAGGAGCGGAATTAAAATGTAATAACTTCGGGTTCATTTGAGCAGTTTTAGTTTAATGGGACAATAAAAAAGTGAATAATCCATGGGCAAAACCTATATTCTAGAAGAATATTTAAATGGTCTTGGAAGTCTGGCTCTGGCAGTTTGCTAAATCTCCCAGTTCCATTTCTCTGCTTGAGCTGCTGTATCATTCTGTTCTTCCTTTCACCTCCAGAGTTCTAAAAGAGGAGGCTGTACTGACTGCTTCCCTTTACTACTCAGTCATCCTTTGAACCTTTGCAGCCGGGCTCCCAACCTCACCTCTCACTGAGGCTTTCCACAAGGATGCCAATTACCTCATGGTTAAATTTCCCAGAGCACCTTTTTGTCTCCCTTAAGGAGTCAGTCCTTTTGACTACTCCCACCCCCTTCAAACATCCTTTATTTTAAAAATAATATACAGTAACATTGACTTTTAGTGTGTATACAGTTCTGTAAATGTACAGAATGTATCTAACACATGTACAGATTCATGTAGCTACCACCATACTTAGGATTCAGAACAGTTCCATCACTCTCAGGAGACTCCTTCATGCTATATTCCATTTGATAACACCTTTCTCCTGACTTCTGTCCCAAAGATGAATGAACACTAAGGATCAGGCTCAAGCTCCTTTTGTCATCATTGTTTTCATTTTCTCTTTTTCTACTCCTTGAAAATGTTATTTACTTTCGATACTGACAGTTTCTCTCACCTCTCTGCGAACTCGCATGTCCATGCCTCGCCTCTCTTCCATACCCCAGACAACATCCGTACCTGCCGGAATTCTTCACCACTCCTTAATATTCAGTGTGTTCAAAGTTATACCTAACTTTGCCTCCCAAACTAGCTCTTCCATCGGATTTTTCTATATTTTTTAGCGGTGCCATCCTTTTCACAAATTTGCAACCCTGGAACACTTATAATAAACTCTTTATTCCCAAATCTGGTATCTTGCTACTCAGCTACAAATACTGGCTCCTGCCCCTTTGCTGCTAAGCCGGCTTCTGGTTCAGTAGGCTAAGCAGAGCACTTAGAACCCCATCAGGATCAGACAGCTTTCCCTGGTCAAAACCCCTCATGGCTTCCTACTGTACTCAAATTGTTGGAGATATTTTTTATCCTATGAGGCTCTGTAAGATCTGGCCTCCACCTGTTTCTCTAACCTTCTCTCATCTCTTTAATGGCCCACCCTCCTTTTTGACCTTCGAACTCTACTTGGTCTTTTAATTCTTTGGACTACCCAAGCCTTTTCCAGCCTCAAGGTTTTTGTACCTATCACTCTCCTGACTTGGGCTGTTCTTCCCCTGCTTCCTCCTTGTCTTCACCCACCTGACTTCAGGGCTTATATTAAATTTTCACTTCCTCAGAGAAACTTTCTTTTATGACCTCGTCTCACTGCCGGCATCTGCCCTCAGGCTTCTCAGGGCTCTGTTCTTTTTTCATAGCTCTCATCCTGGTTTGTGATTCAGGACCATGTCTGTTTTGTTCCCCATGTCTCCAGAGCCTAGCCGAGAATCAGACATACGGCAAACTCCTGGTAAATATTTGTTGGCTGTATCGTGAGTCAGGTTTATTTTATTTTATTATTTCTTGCTATTTTGTAGTTTCTGTTAGCTTTGCTGTCTACCTCCTACCTTCTCAGGGGTTTGATCCCACTGTTGTAGGCCTTGCTACAGAGATTGGAAATTGCCGAAAAGAACAACAATCCTGTCTCCTAAATGGTGCCTCTGCCCGGGAGCCCTTATCACTGACTCAGGCAAGATCTAACCTAAACTGGTGGCCGAGCTTGCCAAGTCCGCTGAGCGGTGCACCTTGGCTATCCAGGTCGGGGTCAGCGGATGCAGCTGTTATTCTTCCCTCACCTCACCCTCCTCTTGATTTCTTCCTCCTCTCTCCACCCAGTGTGGGGCTTCTGAAGACCTTGTATACTTTTCCTTTTTTGAGCCTGCTTACCCTTTGACATTTACCAGCCTTTTGACACTGACAACTGCCTCTAGAGTCTTGACTCTACAGATTGCCCCCACACTAATCTTCCTGAAACAGTGCTTTGTTTATGTTTCCTGCTCCCTCTCCTAATATCCCCTAGGCACTTAAGTTTGAAAGCCTTCAATGGTGTTTCATTGCCTAAAGGGTTTAAACTCTTTAGCTTGTTATTTAAAGCTCTTTGGAGTAGAACTGTCCAGTAGAAATAGAATGCAGGCCACAAATATGAGCCACATATGTAATTTTAACTTTTCTAGTAGCCACATTAGAAAAACAAAGAAAGGGTGATAATGATTTTCATAACATTTTATTTACTTCGCTATATCCAAAATAATATTATATAAACACGTAATCAGTAGAAAAAAATTGAGATGCTTTACATTCTTTTTTCATGTTAAGTCTTTGAAATCTGGAGTGTATTTTTTCACTTAATACATCTCAATTCAGACTAACCACATGTCAAGTGCCCATTAGCCACATGTGGCTGATGGCTGCCATGTTGGACAGCACAGCTCTAAACCACATCCTCAACATAGTTGAAGGGCTATCCCTGGGTGATTCCAGTCACTGGCCTTTTGATAACTCTATTCCTCTAACCTAGAACCAGCTCCTTTTCCAAATATGCTAACCTTCCTTGCTGAGAAACCCAGGGGATCCCAAGACTATCCCTAAACTTCAGTTTCCAACATCACTGAACCCTTTTAACATTAATTTTTGGTGTCATTGTTTTTTCATGTAGCAATTACTTATAATAT